TTCGCACAAACAGACGTATAAAAATATATATTGAAGAGCTTGTGAAGCATAGCGAAACCGTTCAATTGCGGTTGCATAAATATATGTGATGTATAACTTTATATACATATATTTATGTATTTGTGTATATGAAAGGAACTTATAGTACTTATATATATTAAATACATATGTAGGCGTATGTAAGTCGCGGCTCTGCATATTTTTGCCTCATATGGCGCATTCACTGAAAGGCGTTGCCTATCAGCGCCAGGGCACTTTTCGCCAATCATTACACTTCATTCGCCATCTTTATGCATTGCTTTCACACATCCTTAATTTAATCAGCACATCCGCATTGCCGCAAGATTGCAGCTTCACATTTTACCCAGGAAATATGTTTATATATAGGATTGTCTGTTCATATATTTTAATATATGCGGTTTCATAGAAATCCCAGTTGAACAACGTAATGTATGTATATGAGTGTAACTGACAGCGGTTGAGGGCCATTAAAAATGCGAAATTATGTCGTACTCTAGTCTGACGATTTTCTTATATTTCGTTCATTTCCGTCTTTCAATTCCTTTCTCTCTTTCTGTAAGAACAACTTGAAATAGCAGGTGATAACCGACAGTTTGCCAAATAACAGAGATATTTGTCTCGGAGTAAGGTACGGGCTGGTGCACTACCAAGAATATACCGATGCCTTATAATCTCTCCGAAGTTGCACTGCTAAACAGATAATGGTCGAGCACCATTATTAGAATGGATTTTCCCACAGAACACAACGAAATATTTGGAAAACAAGTAATTTTAAGGGTTGACTGAACAAGTCATTAGAAATCAGTAGATTTTTCGAAACATATTTTGAAGGTAATCTAAAGAACTTTTTCGTGTGCTCACAAAACAATAGATGCAATATTATTTATATGTATTCTAACCATAATCTTTCCGAATAAAAATGGTAGAGTCATCAAAACTTAGTGAGCGCTTAAAATGAGGTCAAAGTGAGACATAATAGGTACCCAGTCGAATTTAAGGCCAGGATGAATGATTTGTGATGATCTAGATCCTTGTTTAGACTTATTTAGAAAATTAAAAAGCACAAGTTAAAACAATTTCTACAAGCTCCAAGTATTTTTTGGGACGATTTTATCAGTCTGGGTAATATTTTTATTACAGAGAGGCACAAAAACATTATAACTCCACCCTGGATATATATAAATTGCTTTAAATATTATTTTGTAATGGATTTTGGAGGCTAAGTGATATTTAAGTCGATAAGTTCGTTGATTAAGGCAACAGCATTCAGATTGACTATATATATATATATTATGCTCGAATACTATTACTTGGATGAAAAGACGGGAAGGGTAGTTTACTATATGGCTCAGTTGAAAAGCCTGGAGCCATAAACAAATATGATTAGAAAAATCGTGTGAGATATATTCTCACTCTCAATAAAACGATTATTCGGACCACCGGAATATTTGCTCGCATTCATTCTTTTGCGGATTATATTTTATATTGGTTTATTTTAAAATTCATACTTATAGGTTAGTAAGTGAGCAGAAAATCTTATCATTTTAGTTTGAATTAGAGTTACTGACGATAAAAGCTCGAGTGGTTGGGTATAAGGTTTTATACATTTTGGGTATTATTGTATTGCAACAATTTCTTTACTTACATAAAATTAAAACTACTTCATTCATCAGAAAGGAGTTTCTATTATCTTTACATTTCTATCTTTGTGCCACATTTGTTCTTTGTTTGGTTATTAATCATTAGCTATTTATACCCTACGTAATCAACAACAATCACGCACTTGCATACATGCATAACTATTTCCATACTTAATGCTTTTATGTCATCTTTCATATTCGCTGTCGATAGTTATGTTTTCATTTTATTACACTTTTCAAATAGAAAATAAACTTTACGGTTTTCATCGACTCTAACGCCAAGCGATTTGTTTCGCAACTGATGAACTGTCGCATGTGTTGTTTTATGAGAATAAATTTAATTAATACTTTATGCTTTTCATCAAGAGGTAAAAGTTTTGCAGACGAATATGAATGTTTATACGAGCTTTGTGGTGGCATCTTCTTGGTGCTGTTACTAAGAATTTTTATTGATACTTTGTTGTGTTGGTATCTCTCACATGCGTACTTGTCTACTTTCCTCCAATTGAAAGTTTTCGCAAGAAACTTCGAATTTATATAGCTTATACGGAATTCTCTATATGACAATATATGTATTTTACTTTTTCGACTCAAACCATAAATAAGTGTGGAGCTCTGTTGACAATTTTCAGATGAAGTTGCCACATTTAAAGGCAATATTTATACTAATTTTGTTTCATTTTGTAATCTTTGTTCATTTATAATGTTAAGTACTCTTACTAAGTGCGATTGTGTGAAAGAGCACCATTTGCCTATTCTTTTAACTAATCCAAATGCGAGCTGCTTTTAGTTTCGAAAATTATCGTTTTATATAGGTGACTGCGGTCACCAAATGCGAAGGACATGGTTTTGTTAAAACTAATTCAAATGCAAAAATCAATAACCAAATGGGTTTAAGTTTTACACCCAGTTGATGGAGAGGCTTTATCGAATCGGGCCAAATTGAACGATGGGCGTGCTCAGTTTAGGTAAAATCACGTTTGGATAAAATCATATATCTCCGGACCTCTCTCCAATATTAATCAAATTCGTATATAACATAATCCTGACAATTCTATGTCACATTGAAAAGTTGGTGGATGTTACAAACCTACTTCTATAAAATTTTTAATTCCATATGATTCTTTCGCTTTCAAATAGCAATCAGACCAAATATTCAATACTATTTGAAAATTCTGAACTATTCAGGTTCTGCCATTGATCCAAGTTTAAATATTTCAACTTAATTTATGATTTATTTGTATAAATTTATATCTTCTTATTATAAATTTAATTGGTGGTCAATTTTCCAATTTTGTCCATCAGCAATAGTAATCACCTCAATGTACAGAACTGGTTATTTTGCTTTCTCTACTCTGCCTCTCCGCAATTATTATCTACATTATGTTACAAAACAAAAGAGAAAATTTGGCGAAATTTAGGCTCAAAGCATTCAATTTACAAAAACTGAAATTTTACCTCAATTGTTTACACTGTCACCACTACTAATAAATATTGCGTCCTATGATGCTAATAACACGTATTGTCTTATTCTTTTGAAATGCACTTTCAAATCTTTTATACATGATTGTATTGTTTGTTAAATACTAGACCTTCTGTGAAGTATAACTCAACAACCCTTATTTCTGCTTAACACCAGCATTCTTTTTAAGCTTGTAGAGAGTGAATAAGAATGTGTAAAATGTTGCAAGTGAACTTATCCCAATGGCCATCTACGCATTGTTTCACATTTGACAAATTTCCATACATACATACATGTATATATTTTATATAAAATTTCATAGCTCTTCTATCTCTTACTAGCATTGCCATTCAAATTTCACTACAAACATTTTTCTGAGCTTTTCAAAGAATTCATGTTCTTCATTGTTATTGTACTTACATACATGATATATACTCTATATATATATTTAGAATACATCCGAGTCCACTTTTGTAGCATCTCTTTTCAGAGTGTCACAGCATTGTTTTGAAGTATTTGATTTCTGTACGAGTCCGATCGGAGAGATTAGCCGAAGTAGAGTGTCTGTTTGATATGACTCTCTTGCTTAAGTTTGTGCTTTTTGTTGTTATTGTATTTTTCGATAATGTGTTGAGTATATTGTATGCAAATATTTGTTGTCATTATGTAGTGTTTAAAATTCTACAGAAGATCGAAAGAATTCTAGAAAATAAGAATTTTGTTGTACGAATTGAGTTTAGTAATATGAATTCTTGATAAATTGATGACTTTATGAATTTATAAGTTTATGTTTTATGAATTTATTGATTACGCGTATCATATATGACTTTATGTCTTAATGTAAATGACCTAAAAATATCATATATGTAAATACATAAATGATCAGCTTGACGAGCTGAGTCGTTAACCATGTAATTGAATGTTTAAATTTTACACGTCCTTTTCTTCCAATGAGCGGTAAATTTTCGGAATCGCCAATATCGAACAGCTATAGCATATAGCTGCCATACAAACTAAACGATCGGAATAAAGTGCCTGTGTGAAATATTTTTTCAGTTGGCGAAATGCATATGTGAAGTTGTGACTTTAAGAACTTATGAATTTATGAATTTTTAATAAATCCTTCAGTCTTAAATTTATTATTCACTTTACTACTAGACGAAGCTGTTGAAACCTCATTAAGTCTAAATTTGCTTTCAACTTTGCCATGTAACATATATATATATGGACATATACATATTTATATGTATACAAGGCATTTATCACTGCTAGATATAGCTATGTGAAAATTCATATCTCCTCTACGGCTTATACACACACACCCATACGTGCATAGTTTTAAAGTGCCCGACGGTTCGTTGCACCTTTGAGTTTATTGCCAGCACTTCACTGTATTCATCCACTTTCATACTTTCCCAGCTTTTAACGCGTGCACAACGACCTGGCTGCGCACACAAAAAGTCATGCAAAGCTATATATGTTATATGTATATGTATAAATATTAATTCAGTTGGCGCTTTCGTAACAATAATTTGAATTTATAAAAGGTGTCAACGCGCCTCAAAGCACATATACGCGTACATAACTACATAAATAAATTTCGCACACTCTCACAATGTTAGACATACTATATATATATGTATGTATAAGGCTATCTGGTTTATTCACTTTTTTAATTTTATATACAGATATAACTTCGTTGGCTTATATATGATACGTTTTAAGCCATCCCGCTGCAGTTGGTACTTGATATGATCTTGTGCATACATATGTAGCAGCTAGTAGTCTTATATTCTTCTTTTTCCGTTTTGATATATTTTATTATATTTAAAAAAATATATTTGTATTAACAAATTTTCTTTCTTTTCTATTTTCAGGTAAGTGCAATATGGCTTAAGCAAGTAGTGAGTATAAAGTATAAGAATTACATTTTGCAAAGCAACGTCTTCACTTTTAAATTCAAGAATCAGATGGAATTTAAAAGGTGGTTTTATAAGAAGTAGGCGTAGTTGTCATCCGATTTCGTGCATTTTCATAGTGTGTAATAGGAATGTTTGGGTAATCTCACACACGAAATTTGTTCTGAACGTTTTGAGATATAGGGTTTGACCTAAAGGTCAACCCTTCACAAAGTTTGTTCAAAGGTCTGGTTGTGAAATTTAACACTTGGGGCTAATTTTTTCAGTATATTTTTCGGTATATGAGGAGTGTGAGTGGTTATTACACTTAAAGAAGTGCTAAAAAACTTCTTCTCAGCGAGTTTATTTGACTTAGCTTAAGCGGTTTTGAATATAAATATGTACATTAAGCCATTTAAGGGCGGGGGCACTCGCAATTCGTCTCTTCATTCTTTTATGCTATCTACTTATACATATATATATATCTATATCTATCTCGATTAGTTTTGTTCACAAAAAAGTAATAATATTAAGAAAACAGTAGGTATAAACCCGAGTTTATCTCTTACTTCGGGTTCAAATATTAAACACTACTCGCAAACACTGAGTATTCGACACTAAATACTTTTTTAAACCTAAAACATTTGCACAATTGCTTAGTATACACGAATTAATTACACAAATGTTTTCTAACTCGGTTTAAAACTCTGAGTTGTCATACAGAAAATTGACGTGAAGTTTACTTGAAGTAGAAGAAAAAGTATAAAAACAGGAGAGGTTAATTTTTGGGGTAAGAAAAAAAAGGAGGTACACAATAAATGATAGTTGAGTGTAATGCGTGTGTTTGTTTTGCATATATGCTTGAGTTTATCGAAAATTTTGGTCTTAAACATTAAACACTACTCAGAAATACAGAATTGATTTGATTACTTTGATTAGGAGACTCTTTAATACTGTACTGAGAATATTGCGCAATTTTAATAAACTCTTAACCTTAAACACGAGTATATGGAAAAAGCTTACGCTGTCATTATTAATTTACTATTACTATTTGCTATATTTCCAAATCGACTTTTTGTTGACAATGTACTCTCCTGTAGATTAGTTTTAGTACACTATATAGTAAAAACTTGTTAGTAGATTTTTGAGACGTTCTTTGTTTTCTTTCACTCCATAAACATAAATGAATTTTATGCTTTCGGGAAAGCATTAAGAAAAATCTGCAGAAATCAAGTGGAAGTCAAACATTTTTTAATTAACTCAACTGTTACTGGAAAACTGCTCATTGCGATAATTAAGCATACATTCGGCAAAACTGCTTAAAATTGCAAAAAGCAACAACAACAAATATTAGAAATAACAATTTTTTCTTGGCATTTCAATGTATAACACAAATTTCTGCACATATTTATGAATGTATGTGAGCATTTAAGCTGTAACTTAGATCCATCATGCTCATCATCAAAGCTCTTATGCAGTCGCATGCAGTTATCATGCAGTGGTTGGCGAAATTTTAATTAAAATCACTGTATGTGGCAGCAGCAAAACCGCAACACAGCAGCGAAACATCATCAGCGCAATGTAAATTATTTCATATGCACAAGCATACACAGCCCTATATATATATATATATATATTTATATATTATATTTGTAGTGTTTTTCACTTTGCATGTGTTGCATATGAACAGCGTGGAGTGGAAATAAAAACGAGAATAAAACATGAATGCTTAAAAGTCATAAAAAATAAGAGAAAGAACGGTGAAAAGTTGCATGAAAGGAAACTGACCCATAAAATTTCATACAAAAGCGCAAATATGTAATTATGTACATGTGTAAGTAGGTAAGCCAAAATTAGGTAAATAGCGGAGGAAATGCCAGTTTCAGCATTAAGTAATATTAAAAGCAATATATATATTCATATATATATTTAAGCACTTTATATATATATATATATAAGCGCTAGATATGTATAAACGCCGCAATTGAGCATGACAGGACTGTCAGTGGAAGTCACAGAGTTTGTTTGATGTAAATATTCTTAGAATAAATTATGCAGATGATATAAGAATTTTTCATCAATGACGACTTCAATTAGAGATATGATGAGTTTTGCAAAAATAAACCAAAACAAAAAAAAAAAAATAAAAAAGTTAGTATATCTTTGTAGACCACTGTAAATAGCATTAATTGCCCCTTGCAGTCATTCGCAGACATTATGAATAAGTTTCGTGGCAATTTGCGGCACATAAATGCTCATACGTAAAATACCTGAGCAGGCTGCTGAATTAAATGATAAAAAAAATAAAGAAAACTCACACATACACAGATGTGCCATTATCACACAGATGAAATAGCGCTTTAACAATTTCACTTTCACATTTCCAACATTCCATTCGTGAGCGCAGCTGTGATGCGTAGCGAATTGTACACGCGCGCACACACACAAACGCACATTTGTGAGTACATATATTTATATATATATATATATATATATATATATTTCATATTATCTATATCTATATCTGGCATGTACATGTCGACGGCAGAAAATGATTGCACTGAATAGACCACACAATCTGGTTGCTGCTTAGTGCTTGGTTGCGTATACGCCGTGTGCGGTTGCCCATAAGCTATTGCGGTTTAATGTGTATTTTCAATTTTCCACTACTTTTTCACGGTGAATTATTTTTATGTGTCTGATGTTTGTTTTTTACCACTTTTATAGCTGTTTTCCCCAGCATTGTAGTGTATTGCGCACTTAGTTATATTTCGACTTGCATTTATTTCTTGTGTGCTATTTTGCCATGTGTGCCATGTACAAGTGTAGATGGATATGAAAATGTATATATTACTCAGAATTTTATCTGTGCATTTAGGTCAGCGGGTTTTGGCAGTTTTGTGTAGCCATTTTGTAATGAGCGTTGCAAAGAGAAAGTTAATAATTTGCATTTAAAAGTTTTTTTGCACATCAAAAATTATGCCAGCCCGGATCAGGTTTTTAATTACAAATAAAAACAGGTACGTGAAAAACATTAAGTGCTGGTAATTTGGTTTTAAGTATTTTAAGGAATATTAATGCCATGTGCATAGTAGAAGGCTTGCATTTTGCTTCAAAAGGCTCTGAAAATATAAAAAACCTGTAAGTAAAACTGATTATAATTTAGAAATTAAATTAAATTTTAATTAAAAGTACTATTTTTCCTTATCGTTGCCTTAACTCACATTAAACTAAACCTGCTCGTGTATTTGTCTCTGCAGGTGAGATATTTTTATTAAACTCGAAGTGGTTAAAATCACGCGCAGGCCTTCGTGTGATTTATAAATGAATTAATATTTGCCTACAGGCTTTTAAAGTAAATATTTATTTTGGTTAATATTTCTTAATTAAAATAATAAGTCTTTTCTTAATTAAAATGCGAGTCATTTTGATAATATTGTATAACTTTATTCCTCCATTTTCCCGAATCTATCTTTTGCATTGGTTTGTATTTTTTTAGAAAAACTCTACTTTAAATCTGTTTTATATATACTCAACAAATTTTAGAAACATACATCATATTGAATTTCCTGTCATAAAGTTTCTTTAAACATTGTGCAAGTAAGATAGCCCTGATAGCAGAAAGCAGGTTGAAATTTAATCACTAATTTGGGAATAGATAGAATATAATATAGAGGTCTCGTATTCAGAAACAATAATAAAATTGCTTATTACAATAGATACTTAATCTTTAGCGCTCGGGTTTCCAATTCGGAGATAGTCACATATATTTTTATACTCTCGCAACATGTCGCACAGAATATAATATTTTTGCTCACCTAACGGTTATTTTTATCATTTAAACTAATCGAGATAGATATGGAGTTATGTATATATAAATTATTAGGGTAATGAAACGAGTTGAAATCCATATGACTATCGATCCATCTGCTGTGTGTTCGTCCATCTGAATATCCGATCCGTCATGAAGTCTTTTCAGCATAGGTTCATACATTGTGAAATGGGTAAAATCAGATAATAACGACGCCCATTCCCCATATAACCGTTATGTTGAAATTACTAAAAGTGTAAAAGTAACAAACTTTTAAATTTCATAAATTGGATCCTAACTCTTCAAGGACGCAAACACCGAATATGTGGACACCAGTGCATATGGCTGAATTTTTGTCGAATATATAGTTCAGTCTGTAAGTTCTAGTATTGAAATTCGGTGATAATATTTGTATGACAAAAAGCTTGTCCTTGTGCCAAAAAATGGGTAAAACCAGGTGAATACTTTCCTTAGTCCGCACTTACCTAATATAAATATTTTCGACTTTATACTGTTGATACGTCTATCGATCAACATGTAAGAAATCTTAATGGAGTTCCGAAATAATTTCTTTCTAATAATAGTGTATATTCTTGCATATCCCGTGTATCACTTTACCTTGCGAGTGTAACATGTTTTAATTATCGTTTTATTAATTATTCATGCATATAAAATTTGACCTCCGGCGTGAGCCGTGTTTATTAAAATAATATCTGGTCACCGCTGCCTTCGGAATCTTAATCAAAACCAGATTTCAACAAATTAGTCGCATCCAAAGAAATTGCTAAGACGCAAATTTCACATTTGGAATCATGGTATATCGGGCAGTCTGTTTTATTACTATTACAGGTATGCTCCATGAATGCATTTATTGTGACTGATTTTTGTTAGACAATTTTTGATATTATTATTGTATTTCTTGTTCTTAAGGCAAAATTCAAATACGAATTTTTATTGGGAAAAAGAGGCAGTGTCTCAAACAAACTTAATGTGTAAATTACAGTAAACCATTTAAAGTATATTCCACAAGTGTAGCTAACAGAAATTAATGATCTTAAAGATCTACTTAGGAATCGATATTTCGTATCTCCCAACTGAATATTATGTTCAAAGATTAAATATGGCTAAACAAGGAGCAAATGGTATTAAAGCCTTTTCCATAATTTTCAATA